AAAATTGCAATGTCATTTATCTCCTCTTCTTAACTCAATAGCTTGGTATTCTAACTTCATTATTTATTCTTTTGTAAGATGTAAGCATTGAACTTCTCTTGAGTAGTTGCTTTTGCTTGCTTAATTTTGCTTTTTACTTTGTTAGTTAGGAGTTTAAATTTGTTTTGTTTTTTTTGGCAAAGTTGGCAGTTCTTGAAGTTGCTTTTTTGTTAAATAATTCTGCCATGCCACAACATTTTCTAGCATCTCTGTTTTTCTTAAGCTTTTTCTAAGTTTTCATCTTTTTCTTTGCTTTGCCTTACTCTCCATTTTCTAGCTACTTCAAGAGCATCTAAATGGCATTTAGAAATGTTTTTTTCTAATTCTAACCTCTCTTCCAATTCTCTTATTTCTTCTTCTAATTGCTTATTTATTTCAAGCAATTCATTCCTCTCTTGCTCTAAACTAGTTGTTAATGATTGTAAACTTTTAACTTCTTCATTAGATTTCACTCACCAAGACATTGCAATCTTATGCAAGTAAATAAGGCGAACAAAACTTTTTCTAAACTCTTTGTCTTCTAAATGCTTTAATACATAAGGGCGAAGTCAAAAGTAATCTATATCTCTGCTTTACTTGGATTTTGGTTTAAATTACCAATTAGTTTTTTTATTTCCTCTTCGGTTAAAATATTATTTTGGTTTGTCATGATTTTAATTCCGATACACTAATAAAGTAATAAAATTTGCGGATGACTAAAATATTTTTATTCATTATCAGTATAAATTGGTTTGGGACAACACTTATGTCTTTGAATTCATCTCTAACAAATGGGCGAATATTATGATAAAAATATTCTTGTCTTTTGTAATCCAAAGGAGGCGGAGTTAGAACTAAAATAGAAAACAATTTAATTTTTTTGGTAATTTTAGAAACATTTGTCTTTCTCGTTTTTAACAAATTAAATTCAGTAAAAGCACCATTAGCAACCATTTGAGCTTTGACAATTCCAGGATTAGATGCCTCAAATTTTTTAAAGAAAATTCCCAATACAGAATTAAGATCTAAGTATTGAAAACCATTTCCATTGTCATAACGCTGGACTTTATTTAATCCAGCTGTACTTGATTTTTTCACAACCTCAACAATATGATTCACACAATCTACGGTCATTTTTCTATAGAGCTTTTTAATCAACCCAAAACTATCATCACACTTGAATTTAGTATGTCCAGGTACCATAAAATTTAATTCGACACTTTTATAGTAGCCACAAATTACCAAATACAAGTAAAATCAAATAGTGGCATTATTTTTATTTTGACCGCCCGCATTGTCACAAGTAATCTTTAAATGTTTCTCACCTTTATTCAATCGTTTAATTCTATCGAATACCATGCTCAAGGTGCCATTAGGACCTTTGCCGATAATTTCGTCTTCATCGAGAACGTAATTAATTTGTTCGCGTACCGCTTTATCATGGATACCAAACAAATGTACTTTACGCGGACTGAGATAATAAATCTTACTTACTTGTTGATCGGAATGGGGTACGTGAACGTTTTGTGCCCAATCATAACTGTAATGCGCAGTCGCATCAATGCTACAATAATTAGCTTTATCTCCTGTTATAGCGTAATTGTCATCTAACAATTTCCTCTGTTGTTCTGCTAATTTCGTATTTTTGTTGTAATAGTTTTTTTCTAATTTAGCCTTAACTAAATGTTTTTTGAATTTTTTTAGTAAGTCTTTTGCTTCTTTTTTGCGAGCGTTATACTGTAACCCGTTCCGAAAATGTTGGCACGTGTCACATAAATCTGTTCTTGGACTCATGATTTGAATATAAGGTGTTAATTGATGCCACAACTTGCGGAATGCGTCATATTTTAACAATTTAATGTGCTATCATTTTTGAGACCTGCAATAAAATTACGATAAACCAATTTGTAACTTGTTTCTGCTGGTAAAAGTGTAAGCGATTGAGTAATGCGATTAACATTTCTACCGGGACTTGGTAGTCCATGAATTTCAGCATAGTTTTCGAGAAAATTTTTCACGGCAGTAACAACAGTTATATCAATGATTATTTTGGTTTTCCATCGTGGCACTTTTTTTACATTACCATGAACGCGTGGTATTATGCCATTAGTTGCTAGATGGTTTCTGACATTTTCGAAGTGAGTGCGACCGATTCCCAACATGTTGAGATACGTTTTTTGACAAAGCGGTGTATTGCGATCTCAATAATAAAAGGTTCTTTTATTAGTACGTGTTTTTTTTAAAGACGTCGACTGGCAGTTATTTCTCCACCATTCATCGCTTTCAGTTGGGCTATTAAAAATATATCTTGTTCAGATTTAGAGAGAGCTTGAAACGCTTCACGTAATTCGGCAAAAATTTCTCTTGGAATTCTTTTCAAACAACCACAATAGCAACCTATCTCTAAAAAACGCATGGCTTTTTCGTATTCAGTCGAACCATTATAATTATAATTTTCCATATACGGGTAATCCTATATATTAGTTTTAATATTCTGTTATTTTTATAATTGTATCGGTATCATAATTTATGTTGCACATGCGACGTTAAGTGATTTGGTCAGGTGATCATAAGGGTATTCTAGACTTTATTGTCTAGCTGATAATTGTTAAAGCTAGCCTTACACCAGAAGTACAACGGCTAAAAAGCCTGGGATGAAAAGAAAGCTGTTGCTGTTTCTAAGATAAGGGATTACACCGGAACAGACACATACTTTTTTATTCTCGCTTAATTAAATCAGTTAATATTAACAAGATGAATTATATTCAAGCGATTCGTATCACCGAATACTTTCACTCAAAAATGCTAGAAAGCAAAACGTGATCGCGACGATATAAAAACGCAAACCATTTGTATGCGTTATGCTTGAGGAGTATCAAATTTATTTATCAATGTTTATTCTGAAAGATGCATTTGGAACAATAACTTAAAATTGTTAGAATACACGGTCCACGCACTTTAAAATAAATCTTTCGCGTGTCCTAATCGGAAGACGATGATGAAGATGAAGATGAAGATCCTGATTTTGAGTGCTTGTGATGACGATTCTTTGATGACTTCTTTTTATGTGAATGAGATGATTTTTTATTTGAATGAGATGACTTTTTATCCGGATGCTGATGTGTCTGCAAGGTATATGAACCTGCTTGCGGATACGGATTACCCGAAGTTGCATAACCTGCCTGCGGATATGGATTACCCGAAGTTGCATAACCTGCCTGCGGATATGGATTACCCGAAGTTGCATAACCTGCCTGCGGGTATGGATTACCCGAGGTTGCATAACCTGCCTGCGGGTATGGATCACTGTGACCTGCCTGCGAATATGGTGGCGGCGGCGCGTACGAACTTGCCTGCGGATATGGATTTCCAGGCGGTGCATATGAACTTGCTTGCGAGTATGGATTTCCAGGCTGTGCATGCGAATCGGCATTTGAATGTGAATGTGATGGCTTTGATCGTGGTAATGGGATCGCAAGTGGTAACTGGTTCATAGAGTCTTTTATCACTTCATCGGCAGACAAGCGCCAATTGAAATAGCGAAAATTACTGTGGTGTAAAACATTTGTTAAATAATTTTAAAGTTTACGTCTAACGCGAGTGTATTGGTATTAAAGAAAAAGGTTACCTGATTTCGCCATTGAATGAATCCCAGGAATAAGCACGTCCAATATGCAACGGGCCTTTATTGAAAATTACTTGCTCCGTGCGAACGTTGACGATAGCAGCTAATGCGCGCCATTCACCGTCAACGTAGATATCCAACCTTTTTTCGGTGTCAGACAGTGTATATGCTACATGGTACCATTTGCCTAACAAAAGTCCGCCTTCGACCGAGTCAATCCCTGCATTGTTATAGTAGTTGCCAGTGAAGCGAGCATGCAAGTGGGATGTGCCAGCTGATAGCCACGTTCCGGGAGTACGATCGTAGTCGCCGGTGCCTAATTTTATTCATTTGATTAAGGCCGACGGAATATTAGTGAGGTAATTTTGATCGATATCGTCTAATAATCTCGCTGGCGAAAAGTCTTACTTACCTTTGTGAAAAATAGTAGCCCAATTATTAGAATGAGTCTTGAGTTTTATCCGGAAAGTTATTGAGACAGCATTCTTCACTTTAGGTAGTTCTTTGTGCTCGAAAATTTTCTGCTTTTGACTAGTGAAGCTAACGGGATCCTTAATTAGCTCAACCCAATCCATTTCGGAAGATGGGATGGGAAGATCATGGGAGTTTTTATACAGCGCACTATATCATATGATTTGGAAACGGTCGTTTTTTTGCCCAATAAAATTCTCTGAAATCATAATAAGGACTAGCATTTGATTGTCACTTTTTAAAGCCTGACTGATATAAGTGGAACTTGGTGCAACCGATGTATTCTAGAAACATGCACTGTCAACTTATCTATATTTCCATATTTATACAACTCCTGCTTATTATTATTCAATCGAGTGCATGAAGAACTATTTCTTAATCCCAATAAATTTCAATTCGTGACCTGATTCGCCAGTGCACCGTCAATATAAACAATCAATCGGTGTCAGACAGTGTATATTCGAGACCGAACAGTTGTGATAAAATTCTCATAGTCAAAATGAGGACTCGCATTTGATTATCACTATCTCATACCTACTGATATAAGCAACATTTGCATTTCTTTGACATCCGGCTTAAGGGAGTTGGTGCGACTTATATAAAGAATGCTTCTTATTTGAAGATGCGGGTTACGTGTATTTTTAGCAACATACAAATCCATATATCACGTTTTCCGCGCAATCCACGGATGATCATCAAATTAACGGAATAGAGAAAGTGGCATTGGATGCGTTTCCACTAAGTCTGATATAATGAATAGCCAACCCTAAAATCAGTCAATGATGACCATATTTTCGGAATAATACAAATCAAAATCTGCAGAAAATTGCCTCAATTTATATTTGAGTTACCTTTTATATATAATGTCACCTTTTTCAATATTATTGATAAATCCGGTAATTCTGAGCTGATTCTGGCACATCAGGTTGACACAACAATTTGTGGCTTCATACGATTATGTTTGATTGTATTCTTAAGTATAGGGGTTGCATTGAATCTTCTCAGATAGTCAAACAAGGCCTTCGCAACGACTGTTTTGTGGCTGGAGTCACGGATCATGTGATTTAATATGTCCTTTGCTTATTGCTGCGCTTATTATTATAAAGATCTTCCATCTGCGCTATTGTCATCTTTCAGAAATGGCGAAAGACTGGGTTGAGCTTATTAAGGATCCAATTCATTTGACCGGTAGTGAACAACGAGTATTCCAGAACTCACAGTTACCTGCAGTAAACGATGCACTTACAGTAACTTTCCGAATAAAACTCAAGTCTCATACTAACGATTGGGGTACTGTTTGTCACAAAGGTAAGTTTATTTGATATTTATTGAACTCGCCCGATTATGCACTCTTGGTCTTTAATGACTAAACATAATTTAGGTACCGGCGACTACGATCGCACTCCCGGAATTTGGCTATCAGGTGGCTCATCCCACTTGCATGCTCGTTTCACTGGCAACTACTATAACAATGCAGGGATTGACTCGGTCGAAGGCGGACTTTTGTTAGGCAAATGGTACCATGTAGCATATACACTCTCCGATACCGAAAAGAGGTTAGACGTCTACGTTGATGGTGAATGGCGTGCATTTGCTGCTATCGTCAACGTTCGCACGGAGCAAGTAATTTTCAATGAAGGGCCGTTGTACGTTGGACGCGCTTATTCTTGGAATTCCTTTAATGGCGAAATCAGGTACATCATGTTAATGTTGACGCATATTGATACAATAGATCTAAGTTAAACTGACTGTTTTGCCACACAGCAATTTTCGTTATTTCAATTGGCGCTTAACTCCTGAAGAAGTCAAGAAAGATTCCTTGGGTGAGACCCCGCAAACAAAGAAAGCACATGTAGAAGCAGCTCCACGAGCTGCCCCAACTCCAGCACATTCAACAACGCCAGCACATTCAACACCGCAAGCACATTCAACACTACCGGCACATTCAACACCGCCAGCACATCCACCACCAGCACATCCACCGTCAGCACATCCAATATCGCCAGTAACATCGCCACCGCCATATCCACCGGCAGATCCATATGCGCCGCCGACAGTTCCATATGTGGCACCGCCAAATCCTTATCCACAGGCAACTTCATACCCACAGGCGAATCCATATCCACCGCCGGCAACTCCTTATCCGCCGCCGCCGCCAAATCAATATCCACCATCAGCAACCCCTTATCCACAGCCGACAAATCAATATCCACCACCACCCAACCCAAATCAATATCCGCAAGGAAACCCACCGGGCGGTCAATATCCTCTGGGTTTCTTTAGATAACTGTACACGTGGGGGAGTTTTGTTTAATCTCGTGAAGAATGTATGAAAATAAATATCCAATAAATTATTAAACGTAGCTTTATTCACGATAACGATCGAGATCTGATGTAAATTAAGTTATGGGATTTTGGCGCGTGTTTGTTATTTTACAACTTTCCGGCACAAATATAATTTATTACGCTATACATATTAACGCAATTATTTGCGATCAAATCTTTGCAACAACAAATTGCGCGTTATCGAACAAGATTGATTGTCTCGTAAGTAAATATTGTCACATAATTGTATTCTGCGACTTAGATTAATATACTATTATCACAAATAGCATCGATTGTGTCAAGATTTAATGTTTCGAGAGACGCATATAATTGTGAAGTCCGTGACTGTAGAATATGGGAGCTCAGCTTCAATCATGTTAACTGCAAATCCCAATGTTGGGAGAAAATTATTGAAATCTCATGTGATATGGTGTTTCTTGGATTTATACGGCAACAATCTGCAAACGCATTTGTCGTTTGCTTTTTAATTAATAGAAGAAACATATAGTAGTAGAGAATCTAATCTTACAGAAGTAGAAATTATCTGTTCAGCTTCACAAACGAACCTAAACTCCGAGAATACGATCTTTAAACTGAAATCTATTGCAAGCGAATTATATATTAGAAAGGTACTTTGCACATCGTCTTAGGAATGCCCATTTATAACAAACAATCTTTTTTTTTGTCACGGTATAGTCATGGAGAATGTTGGCTTGGCTGTCCAACCGGGTCCTTTTAGATCGAACCGATCCAATTACTAAAAACGGACGTATATTATTAAAAATGCCTTTGGTTCAAAGAATATGGCAATAAACGTGTTTGGAGATGAAAACGTGTTCTCAGGTGTATTGTATATGTTCTAGCATAATAATAGGATAGGAGCAAATGGGTAGCTGATCATCCTACCATCGTCGACAATAGATAAATATATAGGGCTTTGCAATAATAATAAATATGAGCCTTCCAATTTAAAAAAGTTTGAGGTTGACGATTTACGCTATTAAATGTTATACCGCATGAGTCCCATATGCATACCACATGGCTGACATAAATTGTTATTTCCGAAATAAGGCTTGGGGATTTTTTAAATTAAAATAAAATTAGAAACGATCGTCAACCATATGTCAACCAAACCCAGACGAAGTTAGCGTCTGTATGCCTCGGTTTCCACAAACTCTCCTTATGTAGTGAACAAACATCTTTGGATCACGTAACGCATTACCTCCGAATTTTTAAAGTGGGCGTACGTATATTTGATCTTGTCACATAGATTAACGTTTTTTGGAATTGAACAGTATTCGCATTCATGACGTGTTTACCATTAAGGAATTCGCCTAACTCATGATTATAAGCTTTTTACACGTTATACAGCTAAGACCAATCTGTTGCGATCTGTTGCTTGTACAAGTTTTACTTTAATGTGAAATATAAACAATGAAGGCCTCAAAGTAATACTGTATATCAAGGAAATTTTATTTATGATATCGCCTTCGGTATTACTTTTTTAATTGTCCTTAATATTTTATTATTATTATTGTTCAATTCATGTGATTGAACTGTTGTCGGTAATTTCTCTAAACTGGAAATTCAAGTCATTCTGCTAAAATATAAAAAGTTATTCTTAGACAATTAGTTTCACAGTGTGGATCTACAATAAACGACTGTACATCTCCTCTGTGAGAATTCAAACGCGCTACTTGCTATAAAACGGAACATTATACAGATAGACGATACACACCAATTTGTCAGTAAAAATTGACTGTTATGATAATTCCCGGCGCTTTAAAAACTACAAATACATATATTTTCACGTACAGCGGATGCCAAGTATTATTTATTTTCTAAATGCGAATATAAAATAGACCATTGAAAAAAGAAAACATTAAAGTCATCAAAGAGAACAAGAGGGGAAGACAGTTGAAAGTTAAGAATTCAGGGAGATACAACCAATAATACTAGGTAGAAACTTAATCTGTTCAAATAATCAGCGTTATTATTATCACAAAACACCAACTTTAAACTAATAATATAAGTGCTATAAATGGCCTATCAGCCATGAACTCTCCGTCTGAAAATATTGCTCTCGGCCTGTTGATTTTAAGTTTCCTCGTTTAGCTTTGTTTTGATTTTAAGTTTGTGCTAAATTAATACCTACCAAATAAGAAAAGTAATTAGTAATTGTTGTGGGCAATATCAATATCGGATAGGTGATCAAATAAAAGTTTTATTTTATGTTTTACACTTGTGCCGTTCCGAGTGTTAGGCATATGGATTCTTTTTAGACAACTGAAAAATCGTATGTATAAAAGTCGGATCACCGAAAATGCCAATCACACAAAGTTACAAGTTAGTCCTCCGGAGTTTGATTTGACAGGTGTTACAATTAAACGTTCTTCCGACTTTAGGAAAAAAAGGTGAATTTTTGTACATTTTTATTTATAAAAAGTAACAATAAATACACTGAAATTCTAAATACTCTGTAAGACTACGCAATGCAAAGGTTCATCGATGTGATAGATAATCGGGTCTACCTAACAAGTCAAATTGAGCGATTGCATAATCTCGATAAAAAGTTCTGTATACAAGGGATAATCGCCTGGCGACATGGAAATTTTCTTGAACCCGGTTGTCATTCGAATAACATCGAAATGGTTTATGACGTATGCCATGAGTTCCTCTTTTACGTCAGACCACTGCCATCCATACGAAAACAACACATCGTAAGCGTTCTCCTCGTTGATCTGCTGAATCAGAGCCTCTTTCGATCGCTGTCTGAGTTCTGTGATCAGATACTTGTCTGCAATCGTTAGCATCGAGAGTGCTGTCTCCAATGGAGTGGGCGAATCTTCAAATGGTGTTTGATCTGTATATCTGTGGGAATCAATGGGTGATAAGATTGTTTATTAGAAAGACTGTTCCTCCCAATCACACGCAATGCAACGTTCTTGAATACTCACAAAAACCTCAACATTTGTAAAAACGTTTCAGAATCAAAATCGGTTATTTCAAAGAAATGTTTGATGTTCGGATTCGCTTTATCGTTAACGGTCTGTTTCTTTTCAGCCCACTCGCTCGAAAGAGCTTGCTCAAAATATTTCGATCTCTTCTTCAAGATAGCACTCCTTGCATATATTTGTCGCCCCTTGACGCTAAATTGTACGTCTCCAACTTCCTTGTTATCTAATTCTGCTATCCATGCTTTCAACAAATTATAAGGTATGGTAGGTCTTTCAAGGATAACTGTGTCTGTAGTCAGAGTATCCTCCGTGAAAAATGCACCAATAATGATAGTAGATGGTAATTCACTGCGCTTGAACGCATAAGGGTTTCCTACTGGTGCGGATGGTGTTGAGAAGCTTGGGAGAAGGTGCGAATTGATTGTAGGAGATAGGAATGTAGGACTGGTTGGTGAATCGAGTGGATCTAACGAATCCGATGTCGAGGCTGTGGAAATAATTCCTCTGGCCAACGATTTGAGTGATAAAAAGTCAGGAAGGAGAGTACTTTGGAATAGTATTCGACTGCCACTGATAGCGTGAATAGAGCACATTGTAAGTACATCAAAGATTGGATGAGAAATATCGTCGTTTGAGTACTAATATAAACATTACCTTCTGCTCCCATCAACATCTCTGATGAATATTCTGATTGTAAGGTTTTCACGCTTTTTCCATGATGCTGTCGAAATTTGTTCTTCAGCATTTAATATGGCTCGCAGGTATAAACCACAATATTCTGGATCCTTTTGTGATATCTGGTGTAGATAGAACATACAATTAGTAACAGCCAATAAAAGTGAAATATTTGCAGGAAAAGGCAATAGTATCAGGTTTCTTTACCGGCTCAAAGATAAGTTCCCAATAATGACCAGAGGAAGTCACAAATGATGATGTAAATAGGGGTTCTGTGATTTCCAACGGATTAGATATTTTGAATTCAAATCGGCATTGTCCCGAGAATCCTGTGATAGACATTATGTTCGTCAAAAGATAAGCAAGCTTGGCAGTTTAGCCGAGTAGTCGTAGTGGTGGGCTATGCAAGAAAAAGAGAACAAAAGGATCAAGTTTTTCACATACCAGACAAATGATATTTATGTATCTTCTTGACTATTGTTATATTTGTTGCCCCTTTAGTATCACGACATTGTCAGCCTTTGATACTATTGTTTGTCTTCCTAAACTGTAAACGTTTTAGTACCACCAGCTCTTGCCCGATCGAGATTAAAAATAAAAGTACAGATTGCAAAGGCGAGTTGCATTCTTTTGACATGTCGACTGCGCCACCTCGGCCATGAATTGGTAGAGCATGTCTTACGTAATGAGTTCTGGTGATATTCGGTGATATTCGGTGATATTCAGTTTCACCCGACAGTCACTTTTTGTAATGAATTTCACAATTCCTCTTTTAGGGGACAATCAAAAGATATTCGTTTTCCTACAAGGAATGTGTGCAATTTCTGTAACATGCAAGCAACCCATTTGATTTGAATGCCAAATATTACTTGACCGTACACAGACGATCCTTGTAGTCTGTTTGTCCAAGCCGGGCATTCTGGTTAGGCCTGCCTCCAGTTGATATAAAGTCGTTACAAGTTGGAAGCAAGCCTTTGTATCGTAATAATAAATTCAAATATTTGTGCTGATCATATCCCAATAAACATTCTTTTGTACATGCACTTCTTCAACTATATATATTAATATACATATATATATATTAAAACCCCCCCCTCCCCAACTTTACTCTTTTTTCGTCATATTTATTTCATCCATTTTGTAAAAAGCCATTAGACAATATATTACTTCCGGGTATCATACAAAAAAATTTCAGCACATTTATGTTGAATGCATTCGCAAGAATTGCTTTGGTAAGCATTCAAAGTTATTTGGAAGGGTTGATATATGGCGACTGCCTTTTTAAAGGCTTTTTAAATAACCAGCTGTTGGCATTTCTAGTAAAAAGAAAAAAAAGAAAAAACGTACCATTGAAGCATATATATCTTGACGATATAGATTGTAATTATCAGTTAGCATAGACTCTTTCCTCATAAGAGAGGACATAGACAAAGGTGGGTCAAACAGTAAGTTGTCTGCGCATAGTACATTTCCTGAATTCCTGGTCGAATGAGCTGACAAAACTTGTCCCATTAGTTAATATACATAGCATTGAAGATGACAGATTTAGATAAAATACTCGGTGAATTGCAACTGGAAGTGGAAGAACTCACTGCGGTATGAAATAGCCTTGTTGTTGTATTCGTATTAGGCACTCGTATATATATTTATGTTGAAACTTTGAAACATGTATTTGATAGGATCTCGAGCGCAGTGCCAGTCAAGAACAGATGCAAGAATATTCATTTAATAAGGATCGAGACTCTCAAGAAAGTCAATATTCATTAATAACATCAACGACCAACTCTAGTGTTATGTCCACTGACTCGTCGGGAACTTCACCAGACAAAGAACGTCACACCGATCATTCCTTCGAATTTAGTATAGAATTAATGCAAGAAGAACTGATCAAGTTAAACTCAAGTCTCAATAAACGCCCAACCTATGCCTCTACTAATCCACAATCTTCACAAACGCAATTCAACGTATCCCCCTCAAACGCTGATATTGGACTTCAAAAGTCATCTCATCCCCGCCTGCCAGCTCTCCAAACAATATTTTCATCCACCATATCAAGCCCCGGACAATCTACAGCCTCCTCACCTATATCAGCATCAACCACAACGACTTCCTCTCCAGTATCTCCAAATGGCGATAACAATGTCTTCCGGAATATTGGAAAAAATACAGACAATACATCTCCTGATGCTTTGGTTCCTAATATAACGGCTTTGGCCGGTTTCGGGTCGATATCACCTGCGGAAAGTCCACCCATATCATTAACCTCGTCTCCGAGATTAGGTGCTCGTACCGTTTCCACTCTTTGGAATGACAGCGAGGATGAAAGTGAAAACGAAAGCGATTCTGACTCATCTTCTGATAGTGAATCAGAGACTGATAGTGACGATAGCGGTAGCAGCGATTTCAACCCACTATCGTTATCTCGAAAACGAGTGTCAAAACCCGTTTCAGATAAGTCAGGCGATGCAGCGAATACAAACAGAATAAGGCGAAGTGTAACAAATGGACATAGACAGTCTCCGCCAAACAGAGGAGCGTCGCCTGCACCTAGTCCGAATAATTCTTCGAACCAGACAGCTGTAACTCCAACTGGTGCAAAAATCACAAGAAAAGGGACTACCGCTCGCGGTTTAGGGAGTAGAGTCAGAGTAAAACCAGCATCGCAACCATCGTCTGCAAGATTATCAAAAGACCCTCTCCCTCCAACTCCTGTACTGCCCAAATCTTACATTGATAGTGAAAAAGAGCCAAATCGAATTCGTGAACAAGAAGTGGATTCACGTCAATCTCTTCCGCGTGGACGAGTTGCTGACAACTACACCAAAGGGCGTTCTAAATCTCGTGATCCTACGTACGATAGAGAATCGTCTAATCCAAGCACACGGGGTCGTGAATTGGAAGCAAGAGACCCCAATAAATATCAGGGTCAACGAAAATCTACAGAAAGACGCTCTGTCACTTCAGAAAACGACCCAAGACAGCTTTCCGGACGTCGTGCATCTCCAACGCGGGGACGGCCAATCGATAGAAACGATCGCTTAACCGATAGAAGCGATCGCCCAAGCGATAGAAGCGACCGCCATCATCCAAACGACGACACAACGGTATCGAGATCTCGTTCTGTCAATCGCGATCAAGGGAATCGTGGGCGATCTAGGTCGCTTGCTCGAAACTCTTCACCAAAGCCCAGCCGTCCGCTCAATCAATCTCGTTCTCGTACGCGCGATGATGACAGAGGTCGCTCTGGCGATCGCTCAACCAACGTTGAGCGTAGTCGATCCAAGTCTCAATCCCGTGTCAATGGCAAATCTCGAACACCAGGCGGAGAAGTTATTGATATGGATTTTGAGAAAGAGAGGGATAAGGTCCTGGAGCGGAATAAAAATAGCGAAAATAAAGAAAAGTCGATAGAGAGAAGCAAAACACGTAGAGAGAAGAAATCTGAACAGGCTGATAAAGAAATCAAGGTAGGTTTTTTGTAATTAAAAACGGTTTTATTATTGGGTGATGTGGAGAGAACTATCTATTTTTGCTAACATGATTTGATCTATCAGATTACGACAAGAATTTACATTGGTGATATCCGTCAGTTCAAGACTCTTGCATTGACTTCAAAGATGAATGCACTTTCCGTTCTCAAGTATTTAAAACGAAAGCAAGCTGTTCCGGATAGCGATGAATGGACGCTGTTTGAATTGGTTAATGATTTGGGATTGGAACGACCATTGCGAGATTGGGAAATAGTAACCAATGTTATCAATACGTGGGACACTTCTCGCACTACTAATGCGCTAGTATGTAAGACGTATGCTTACAGACACACGTTGACCGTCGAGGTAATGAACTTTTTTATACCGTCGTTGGTTAATTTCGGTGTTAATGAGCCTGAAAAGAGAAAAGTATTGAGATTTGATTTAAATTCGTAGGGCTTGAACAACGGCGTACCTCCATTGTTTGGATGGCTTCACCTTAAATTAAGAAAGAATAAGTGGGAGAAACGATACATTTATCTTCGAGACGGGGCGATATATCACGCTAAAGATGCAAAGGTAAATGTCAGTTTTCTGTGAAGGGAAAGGCAAACATACGTTGATACATTTACCATGTAGATGCTTGCGAAGCCTTGTTAAATAGTGGTATATGACAAGTCATTGACTCTTGTTTGAATTTATTTAGGGAGGAAACGAGACTTTTCTCTGTACTATCGCATCGTTTGATGTGTATACAATAACGAAACCGCTCAAGAGGGCACCGACAAAGTTTGCATTTGCTTTAAAATCTCAGGATAGAGTAACAATGTTTGAAAGCCCGGAACAGGACTATGTACACTTTCTTTGTGCGGAGCATATGGAAAAGATGAAAGATTGGGTACTAAGTATACGAAATGCAAAGGTACATCACATTTTAATATGTACTCGAAATAGTGTATATAATGTATAGCATTGGTTTCTCACGTTTGCGCCATATTTTGTCAATAGGCACAATTATTACTGGAAGAAAGACCGGAATTATTCCAAGCTTGCGTGGCAAAAGAAGACATATTGTCACCAACTGTCACATCTCCGCAATCAGACAAGACGGCGGGATTGGCAAAGGGGTCGAATAATGAAGGCTTTCAAACAAATGGTGAAGGAGTAACCTCCTCAGCATCAGACCAATGGGCTACGCTTCGTCGTGCAGTCAGATACCAGCCTGGTAAATCTAGTCGGAAATTTGACTTTTCCGACAATGCTGTATCAGTTCCGCCTGCCGTTGGCGATGATGGTAACAAGAAATCAGAAGCAAACAATGGAAATTTTGACGCGGCAGTATTTAAACCAGGCTCATTACTATCATACGATGAAAAGAACCCTCCGTTGAAGCAAGTAGAACAAGAAGAAGTCTCTTGGGCCAAAGGATCCCTCCTGGCTTCAAGTGACGCTATTAATGAGCAGAAAGAAAAAGAACGAAGAGAAGAGCGATGGAAAGAGCGAGAAAGAGCAGGGAATGGCACGACGTTAGTTCACCTCAATAATGGCGTTCAGTTTAATAAAGGTTCATTACTTGACAAATCCCGTTCGGACAATGCACCATCTCACAATGGTACATTCCTTAATATCCATGAAGAGCGAACGTTCTCGAAAGGCTCATTGTTGGCCCAAAAGAAAAAGTCTGTTGAAAACCTATCTTCAAACCGCTCGCGATCCGAACGACAACCTAATGGACCGCTGCTCTCAATTGATCATCCTACACATCATCAATCGCGCTCTCAAACTGGGTTCACCACTCATTCTGGAAACGGGCCTCTTTTGACTTTAGATCTACCGCCTTCGCAGCACCGGACTCCACATAACGTGATATCTCCCACGTCTCCTGGAAGCACTCTCTTACAGTTAGATCTTAAGCATGATGCTCAGCATACATTGGCACTCAGGAGCAAGGATATTAAGCCGCTGGTCAGTTTTGTACCCGGGGAGAAATCGGAAGGCAGGGAGACCAAGAGAGAGCAAGGGAAAACTTTGGTTACATTTAATAACGGAAAGGAAGGATATGATGATAATGAGTATAGCAGTGAGGCAGAATCTACGGATGAATAAAATTAGGAATCGATAACAGGTGTCGATTGCTATCACTTGTATTTATTAATTATTGTTTATAAAGTCATCATTTCACTACAATTTGTTTATTTACTTATTCTTTCAAGCAAACAATAAAACTGCATTCAAGTTGTGCATTGTAATGATAAGCGTTGAATGTTTCGGCCTGCTATTGGGCTAGCAATGTTGTTCACAAAAGTCAAGAATTTATGCAGTTACGGAAAATTCCATTTTGATGGACGTTGGTTCCGTGTCAAATGGCACGTCATTTAATTGATTCTTCGCGACCTGCATCCGGTATGCTACATGAATACATTTGATTATACATCGGTATCGCTGTTGTCTTTATTATAATTGGCATCTCACTACCGTTGTCATTCTGCTGACGTGGGAGAATTATGCTGAGGAGAATTCCACGATGATTCTATTTCACTAACATGTGTATTGTCATTGTCATGTATAACAATGTTCCCACCATGAAGGTCAATACACTAATCCAATCTTACGAGTGCCATAATTATGGGTCTTGTGTGACTCCACATATGCATTTGGCATGATTTCTGAACCGTTAAATGAGAAACAAATACTAAATATCGATTTAATTAATACTGCCAATTCTGCAATTATTGCTTACCTCGGTGATAAATAATTCCGGCATTTCATAACACTTAAACAATTGTTTTTGCATAAATGAATATTTTCTAGATTTTGCGGTATAAAATGTTCCGTAACCACCAGATCCGATCTCTTTGATGTCATTAAGTCGTCGTACTGCATGTACTTTATACTTTATTGTTTCTATCCAATAATGAGTGTACGTCATGGTAGAACATTAAATGATATTTCCGAATAGCCGGCCCCTAATTATCCAAACATTGTCGGGTGTTAATATCTCCGGGTATGCTATTTGAACAGTCGAGTCGTTACAAACTATATCGATAATACATACGTTAATAATACTATAAAACCGCCCAATAATGAAAATAAGTGACACGGTTTATATCAAAAAGCATTGTTATTGGGAACAGAGCATGTTCATTACTTTTTTTATTCTGCGTTTACAGGTTAGCCAAGACACCACGCTCAAGTCATCTGATTTTGTCATTGGCATATTGAGGCTATAAAGTAGTTGCGTGTTAGTTAGGGGATATCATAAATTTAAAATAAATCGATTCTCAAGTTTCTTAGCTGTAAGCTGTTTTTTGTGACGTACACTTTCAATTTTACTGAATTAGTCGTGTTTGTATCCACACGCTTCTGTAAAAACAAACACTTTATAATTTACAAACGCGTTTCTATGTTACAAATGCTGATGTCATACGGAGAGCGTTTACCATAACTTGTTATTCATATGACGAGAGACAACCACCATTGCATTGACTATTGTTGTTAAGCCATTGAAATATGTTTGTGAAAGCATATCTACTAGAATTCTGTTAAGGAACGCATACTTATGGGCTTACTATTTTATTTTGAACAATAGCATTTAGTTTGTTGAATTTTCTATCAACATTAATATTAAAAAGGTACAGTATAATCGTATCGTTTATACGAGCGCTTTGAGCGCTGTGAGTATTGTAACAAGTTATGTGCTAGAATGCTTTAACGTATCCCTATATAATAGTTCTACCGAAAAGCATATTCAAATTGTGGTGACGACGCATATCAAACTATACTTATCAAGACGTATTCCAAGCTCTTCAGACAAAAACCACACTTCTAACGCTGGCATAACCCAATAGGGAAAGAATTGCGAAACCGAGAATAATAATTGTCAATTTGGGAACATTGCTTCTAATTTCTGCATATTATCATATGTGCAGTTAGGAAAGTGAAGATTCAAAACTGTTTGCATTTGTGAAATTAATCATCGAACAAAAAACTGTTGTTGCGCACCAGCCTATGAACTTGGCTATTTGAAAGTTTGGTTTTGTGGTATAATAATGTTTGCAATTTCACACATATAACAACTTACAATCAATCATCGAAAACTGCGGATCTTTGACTGCAGAACTACACGTAGAGTAGTAAAAGTCTGCTGCATGACAAAAATTTAGGAGACATAGGCGAGATTCGCCACTCGGGTGATACACCTTTGCAATTGCAGGAGGAAACCAATAATGCAATGCCGAAGCAAGAGACAAATAAAAATGGTCGAATCTTTAAATTAAACGTAAATATTAAATACCATTTTGATTAATACTATCGAAGATTGCACTGCTACCCTGTACATTACTAAATGAATCTGACGGTTTATCATCGAACTTACCAGTTGCTGTTGAAGCAATTGTAAGAAGCCGATCGTAAGCATAACTTCTTATTCAGCATACATCAGACAATAAATAAGAGAGAGCAGTAACATCGCTTACTCAGACATTTTCTCTAATATTGGTTTGTATATCGAACAGTGGATGCTAAAACTTGCAAATATCAATATGTGGGAATTATTGGTCAGCTATTTTCACTACACGTTGATACATACCATTTTCGATCATCTGTGTTCCTTGTCTCAGACTCTTCTATAACAACAAAGAGTCGATGCTGGTATGCTGACCTAACCCCAACCGAACTAGCTGCTGCGACCAGTTCTGAAACGATTGCCTTATTGTCATATACAAAATTGATTCCTATTGAACAGTCAATTCCAGGAAATTTGCCAAGTACATGGAACATCGTCATTGTTTGTACTATACAGTAAGTTTTGTATCGTTTTGAAGCCAATGATCGTTGATCGTAATGATTGTAACTTACTCCAAAAAGACTTGATGACAAATCGCAACAAGTATCGCTATAAACTTATAGTTCGATAACTAGTACATTATGATTTTACATATGTAACTTTAGCTCAAACTAAAGTTTTATAGCAACGATGCATTTCAATCGATCATTACTTTTTTGGGAAGCGCATCAAAACGATACCGAATCATTGTTTCTTAGTATGTGCAAACAATAGAAATTTTCGAAAAATTGCTGTTTCATACATTTTCTGGTGAATCAGACAAAGGCGAATGTATTGTCAAGCCAGGATTTTCTTCATCATCAAGATAGAATCATATTCCATTCCTTCAGTTATGGTATCTTTTAGTTTTGCTGCCACTCATGTAATTTTGCTTCGGTTAGGCGCCAACTGATCGTATACGTTATATGCCTGCTGTTGCCACTAATCCGCAGCTTCAATTTCTTCGTATATTTTATCCGAGATTTGAAAAGCAATGTTGATTCAATCATAGCCCCCTATCTGCTTTTTTCACTTCCGTTGAACAGTTCTGTTCCACACATTGTTAAATTCCAATTATGTCGGCATACTCCAATACTAACTCAATAGTGTCATTCTTAACTACTTGATAGGTGTGGTGTCGTTCGGTAGTCTCCCTTAGCATGTTTAGCAATGTTTGGTTCCAGCCGCTTTGATTATGCTTAGTTTGATCTCTACTATTTACTATATCACGATATCGAGTAGTAAAAAGATCGATGTGATAAAAAAAGTGTTTGGGGATAACATACACTAAATTATTAAGAAAAAACTACAAATTTGCCTTACTTAATCTTTTTGTTGTGTTCCTGAAACTTTCCTTTGTTCGAGTGAACGACGATAGTGACAAGCCTTTGTTACGCAAATGTTGACTGACACTGTTCACTATCTTTACTTGGAGTAAAAATAGTGTCCGTTTCTTCTTTTTTTTTTTTTCTCTTTTTTTTTCTGTTTGCAAGATAATACTGTATCTGGTTAGGATCTAGACAAATATGGAATGTAGGATACACGAAAAGATTTAGAACATGTATGTAGAATTAAGCATAACAATAAAACCATTATTTATTGTACAACTTGGATGCACTGCGCAGCAGTCAATCATATGCTTAGTCAACTGACTGTGCTGCGGATGAAGATATATTACCTATTTTTTTACTTATTATAGATTAATTTTATATTATAAAAAATATAGAAAGAGTTAATAAACCATATTCAATACTCGTCATTGATAATATAACGTAGAGGCAACTGTACTTATAGCGTCGATATATATCATTCATGTTATCATACGAACATTAACTCCGTACGTATCTGTTGTGTAATCTATAAAGAACACCAATAAAACCATACGAAATTACATCATAAACTTGATATACATACAAACGCCAATACCTCCAATAACAAGAACGAGTCGTTGTTCTTTACGTGTGGAGCTTTACAATATTTTATATTGTTTTTATTATATACACGTATTTGTAAGATTGCACGTGCTGTGTTGTTGACACACGGGTTTCGTGTATTTCCGGAATGTCATGTGAGTATCCCTGTAAATATGCTAGTACGTGTAGACGGCACAGTAAAGTTCATCTTTTTTCCAAAGCGAAAAGGAAGGCAAACTACTCGTTCTAATGGGCAAGGTAATAATACTAACAAATTTGACTGATCAGAGGTCTATTCTATCGAGCTGTTGGGCTTTCCTCGCTATAAATACCATCTATCAATACTTTATCCGCTGATAATGTTATGATTATTATATTAACCGTATTTATGCAAGCACAGACGAGCGAGTGTATCACCTATAACATTGATGCTTCCATCACCAAAAAACAAGAGCTTGTTGAGTGTACGTACAATGGGAAGCGAGCGTTACCCGCAGGATGTTTATTTGTTGCAAGGTATATATAATCGAATTTATTATGACCGCAGCCGCCCTTTTCTTTGTGCGTCAACTAATAATATTTTATTATCTATCAGTTTAGACGCCACGAAATCGAAAGAACATCTTCAACAGATTGTGGGCAAACATTTTTCGCAATGGGGCCAGCTTCTTTGTGTTAAAGTTCTCAGAGATTGGGCAAACCGCCCTTACTCGTTTGTGCAATATGAGGTAACATGACTAAAGATACTGGAATAACTAGATAATCATAGTACAAACTGACTGTATCTTTCTCCCCGCCCTTATCTTCCGGCTAACGCAATAGAATGTCAACGATGCAGATGTTGCCTTAAAAGAAGCTCATGGCTCATGGATCGAAAATCGACGAATTAGGGTGGAGAAAGCCCGTGTAAATAGGACCCTTTTCATAACTAGGTTGCATCCGAATCGCGTTGAAGAGGAAATCAGGAGCATATTTGAGCCATTTGGTCCACTCGAAGAAATCAACGTACCAAAAAATTTTGTTACGGGTCGTAAAAAGGGAGGCGGTTTTGTTAAATTTTGTTATAGGGATGATGCTATCAATGCATTTAACGTAAGCGAGTTTCAATCATCCAATGTCGGAATTTCGTTCTTTTGCATGTAGTTAATTTTAAAATGTCCACTACACGCTTAGACCCTTCGTCAAACGAGCAATTATTTTCTCGAATGGGTAGAAAATCTCGAGAAACCCCTATCTGAAGAAGAGGAAGAAGACATACATTCGATATACATCGGAAACTTGAACGAAAAACTCGTAACCAAGAAAATATTATATGAAAAATTTGAGCAATATGGAAAAATTGAAGATCTCCACTTAGTCAACCGTGGCAAGAAACACAACATACCAGCTTACGCATTTATCAAATACCGCGATGTGTTATCGGCTGAGGAAGCCATAAGTCACGAGGTAAAATTGATATATCTTTTAGTACGATGATTGTGTTTATGTGCGTTCTCGATGCACGATTTGTCTACACTTACAGTGATTACTTTTTACAAATAGAATAACAAGATATTCCTAGAACGCCAGATAAAAGTTCAGAGACGCCTTACGCAGGAATATCGAAATTTCCAACTCGAACTCAACCGCCAACATAACGAAATGCGTTGGCGATCATTTGGATATTATAAGAATATACATTGTTCCAACTTTCTGACAGATCAACATCAATCCGGTTCCTCTATTTATGCAAACATTGTTCAAACAAATCAAGAATCTGTTGGCATACCTCCGTTAATGTTTTATAGCCCTGTGCCAATGTTTCCACCTTATTTCGGAGATGTTTCGCCAACTTTACCAACGCCACCGGGAAATTTTATGATGACGTATCTACAGCAACAATAGCTGTAGCTTTATTCCCTTTCTTTCTTTCTTTTTTCACTCTATTTCAGCATTGTACAATTCGTGTTTTCGTAATACTTAACAGTCAATAAATAAAATTTTACGTTTTCGATACATCAAAGATGATAAATCGAAAAATATCCTCAAGTTTAAGTTTCGTTTTTGCGATTTAGAAATTTATCCATTGTGTTTCGAAAATTGTAAGCGATCGACATTATACATCACCGCTGCCAAGGTTATTGAGTATGATGTCTTTCTCAGGTTGGGTCTAGCTTATAATCACTGTATTAAAAATCACGTTAACTTTAAGTATATAACTTGCAACGGTATAACCAACATATACACTCACTGGACAAAAGTCTACGTAATTTTTGTCGATCACATAGTAAAACATATGAAAAATCTATTTTTTC